TATTTTTAGTAGAGACGGGGTTTCACCGTGTTAGCCAGGATGGTCTCGATCTCCTGACCTTGTGATCCACCCGCCTCGGCCTCTCAAAGTGCTGGGATTACAGGCGTGAGTCACCGCTCCTGGCCCAATAAAAACCATTTCAACAGGAAAAGGGCTCTTTAGAACTTGATGGTTATAGATCCAAGGGAAGAAAATTCTTTTCCCACAATAGTTTAAAAAATAAAGGTTACTGTATCACCAAAGTAGAATGGCTACAATCTAAAACTGATTAACTCATTAGTAAGTAAAACCTTGAAGTTTTAAAAGTTAACGTCTAACTTAGGTGTTAATTAATTTTTTTATTTTTTATTTTTTGATTTTTTGATAGGGAGTCTCGCTCTGTCACCAGGCTGGAGTGCAGCGGCGTGGTCTTGGCTCACTGCAACCTCCACCTCCCGGGTTCAAGAGATTCCCTGCCTCAGCCTCCTGAGTAGCTGGGATTACAGGCATGCACCACCATGCCCAGCTAATTTTTGTATTTTTAGTAGAGACAGGGTTTCACCACGTATGTTGGTCAGGCTGGTCTCGAATTCCTGACCTCAAGTGATCCACCCGCCTCGGCCTCCCAACATGCTGGGATTACAGGCCTGAGCCACCGCGCCTGGCCAGGTATTAAAAATTGTGTGTTTGTCTTGTTTGTTTTGTTTTTGAGACAGGGTCTCATTCTATGGCCCAGGCTGGAGTACAGTGGCACAATCATGGCTCACTGCAGCCTCAATCTCCTGGGCTCAGATGAGCTTCCTACTGCACCTAGTCCAAGTTTTACGTTTTACATCACTAAGAAGTCTAAACACCACTGAAAAAGTCCAAAGCAGGGCATAAACAGAAATCCAAAACAAGGCTGAGTGTGGTGACTCATGCCTATAATCACAGCATTTTGGGAGGCCAAGGAGGTGGGTGGGTCATTTCAGGCTAAGAGTTCAAGCCCAGCCTGGCCAACATGGTGAGACCCTGTCTCTACTAAAAATGCAAAAATTAGCCAGGCATGGTGGTGCACACCTATAGTACCAGTTACTTGGGAGGCTCAGACACGAGAATTGTTTGAACCCGGGAGTTGGTGGGGAGGCTGCAGTGAGCCAAGATCGTACCACAGCAATCTAGCCTGGGCACAGAGCAAGACACTTCTCAAAAAAAAAAAGAAAGAAAGAAAGAAAGAGAAAGAAAAGAAAAGAAAAGAAGGAAGGAAGAAAGGAAAAGAAAGAAGAAAGAGAGAGAGAAAGAGAGAAAGAAAGAAGGAAGGAAGGAAGGAAGGAAGGAAGGAAGGAAGGAAGGAAAGAAAGAAGAAAAGAAAAGAAAAGAAAAGAAAGAGAAACAGAGAAATGCAAAGCAGCGGGCTCCCAGGCCACAACCCTGGAGTGGGACCCTCTGCTCCCTGGGCATCGGCACAGTGGTTCCACTTCCCTCCTCTCCTGGGAGCACTGACATGCAGCACGATGTTGGGAGGCGAAACACTCACTTCCTCTTAAATGTTTCCTCTTCCTTCTTCCTGGTTAGCTGCACAGAGTGAAGTTTATCCTCTAAGTCCTTTACCCTGAAAAGAAACAAATATTTGTGGAAGGAGCAAGTGAGATGAAAGCAAAGGCCAGCCTGGAATGAGCAGAAAAGGTAGAATCCCCCAGACTCCGGTCCTGGCCTGCAAGGCTGCCACAGAGCAGGCCTCAGGAGATGAAGGACTCGCGCACCGGGCGCAGTTCATGGCCTCCAGGTCCCGGAGCTCCGCGGCTCGACTCTGGAGCTTCCTCTCCAGCTCGGCGTTGGTGGCCTCTGCCCTCTGCAGACTCTCTGCAGCCTTTGCCCCGGCTTCCTTCAGAGCCTCCAGCTCTTTGTGCAGTAGTTTAACCTTTGAATGATAAAAGAGAGTTCAAAATGAGGCGATAATTAGAAGACACTCAGGCATTAGGGGTACATATTGCCATTTTATCAGGATTGGGAGGGAGAAGAAAAATGAAAATTCAAGAAGCAAAGAAGCAGTAAAAGAGTGAGAATGTCCTAACACAACTCAAATGAGACTCAATGATTTTTTTTTTTTTTTTTT